ATATATATATATATATATATATATATATATATATATATATATATATAATATACACTAATCAAGTTCTAAAAATGAAATCTGCTCATTCTGATACTTCATTTCTATAAAATTAATTAAGGGAGAGTGAAAAGTATAAAAATCCTGGGAGGATAAATTCTGCTACCACAGAACATACAGATAAATGCTGCTGTTTGGGTCAGAACACAAAGACCTGAAACTTTTACCAAAAGCTTTATTTAACTAAAACTGTCCCATGCCATACAAACCTTTTTCTTTTCTTTACTAGGTTCCTTTAATAATTAAATATTTGTAGATATACAAATTAATGAGTTAAGTGGGCAGCACGGTGGCGCAGCTGTTGTCTTTCAGCGAGCAGATCCCCGGTTCAAATCCCTATCCGGGGGCCTTTCTGGATGGAGTTTGCATGTTCTCTCCGTGCATGCGTGGGTTTCCTCCCACAGACCAAAAACATGCATGTTAGACTGATTGGTAACTCTAAATTGTCTCTAGGAGTGAATGGTTGTTTGTCTCGTTTGTCTCTGTGTCCCTGTGATGCACTGGAGACATGTCCAGGGTGTCCCCTGCCTCTCACACACTGACTGCTGGACATGTGCACCAGTGACCACCACAACCCGAAAAGGAAAAAGCGGATAAAGATGAAAGATGGATGGAATTAATTAAGTCCAATATTTTTTAACTGTTTAATAACTTCTCAAAAATTCAGGACAAAATGCTAAATCATACAGTGCCTTGTGAAAGTATTCGGCCCTTTTGAACTTTTCAACCTTTTGCCACATTTCAGGCTTCAAACATAAAGAAATAAAATTTTACTTTTTTTTTGAAGAATCAACAAGAAGTGGGACACAATCGTGAAGTGGAATGAAATTTATTGGATGTGTCAAACTTTTTTTAACAAATAAACTGAAAAGTGGGGTGTGCAATATTATTCGGCCCCCATGCGTTAATACTTTGTAGCGCCGCTTTTTGCTGCAGTTCCAGCTGCAAGTCTCTTGGGGTTTGTCTCCATCAGTTTTACACATGGAGACACTGAAATTCTTGCCCATTCTTCCGTGCAAAACAGCTCGAGCTCAGTGAGGTTGGATGGAGAACGTTTGTGAACAGCAGTCTTCAGCTCTTTCCACAGATTCTCGATTGGATTCAGGTCTGGACTTTGACTTGGTCATTCCAACACCTGGATACGTTTATTTGTGAACCATTCCATTGTAGATTTGGCTTTATGTTTTGGATCATTGTCTTGTTGGAAGATAAATCTCCGTCCCAGTCTCAGGTCTCTTGCAGACTCAAACAGGTTTTCTTCCAGAATGGTCCTGTATTTGGCCCCATCCATCTTCCCATCAGTTCTGACCATCTTCCCTGTCCCTGCTGATGAAAAGCAGGCCCAAACCATGATGCTGCCACCACCATGTTTTACAGTGGGGATAGTGTGTTCAGGGTGATGAGCTGTGTTGCTTTTACGCCAAACATATTGTTTTGCATTGTGGCCAAACAGTTTGATTTTGGTTTCATGTGACCAGAGCACCTTCTTCCACATGTTTGGTGTCTCCCAGGTGCTTGTGACAAACTTTAAACAACACTTTTTATGGATATCTTTGAGAAATGGCTTTCTTCTTGCCACTCTTCCATAAAGGCCAGATTTGTGCAGTGTACGACTGATTGTTGTCCTATGGACAGACTCTCCCACCTCAGCTGTAGATCTCTGCAGTTCATCCAGAGTGATCATGGGCCTCTTGGCTGCATCTCTGATCGTCTTCTCCTTGTTCTAGATGAAAGTTTAGAGGGACGGCCGGGTCTTGGTAGATTTGCAGTGGTCTGATACTCCTTCCATTTCAATATGATTGCTTGCACAATGCTCCTTGGCATGTTTAAAGCTTGGGAAATCTTTTTGTATCCAAATCCAACTTTAAACTTCTCCACAACAGTATTTCGGACCTGCCTGGTGTGTTCCTTGGTCTTCATGATGCTCTCTGCGCTTTGAACAGAACCCTGAGACTATCACAGAGCAGGTGCATTTATACGGAGACTAGATTACACACAGGTGGATTCTATTTATCATCATCAGTCATTTGGGACAACATTGGATCATTCATAGATCCTCACTGAACTTCTGGAGTGAGTTTGCTGCACTGAAAGTAAAGGGGCCCAATAATATTGCACGCCCCACTTTTCAGTTTTTTATTTGTTAAAAGTTTGACACATCCAATAAATTTCATTCCACTTCACGATTGTGTCCCACTTGTTGTTGATTCTTCACAAACAATTAAAATTTTATATCTTTATGTTTGAAGCCTGAAATGTGGCAAAAGGTTGAAAAGTTCAAGGGGGCCGAATACTTTCACAAGGCACTGTATCTCACTCATTCTACATAAGTTTAATTTAGAGCTGTAATAGTTTTGTGTTGCACAATCCACGTTTTACTGCAGCTTCATTAGTAACCTTAACCAAAAGGCTACTTCTCTACAATTCCCACAAGTTCATTTACAGAAATTTGCTGACGAAGTGCGTCCATCAGTTTTGTGCTCAGTGAGAATCATTTAGGACAGGGGTGCCCCAATACAGCGACTGCGATCTACCGGTAGATTGCGAAGGGAACATCAGTAGATCGCACGGTAAAATATGTCAGACCTTTTTTAATTTCTTTTAAGTTATTTATTTATTTTTTTTTTATCGACGCCAGCCGATCAATCCATCTGCACTATTGAAATTGTCACTTGATTGACACACAGGGCAGCCAATCAGAGACTGTAATTTTTTCTGACGCATAGGTCACCACGCATGCACATTCAACCACGCTAAAAACAAATGAGTTGACTCGTAAGAGCCTCCAGTTCATATATAAACTCAAGAAAGTGTGTAAAACAAGTTGGGGAGTTGGACCAAGTAAGGCTAAAAAAAAATCTACCATTTCCATTTTGAATGGGGGGAGGACTATTTTTCACAATGTCATTTTCGAAATGCGTTTCACTGGAGCAGCATTTTCAGATTCTTTATAAATACTACGGCACAGACTTCCTTCTGAAAAGCGAGCTGAGAAAGAAAACGGTGAAGGAACTAAAATCCCAGTTAGCAGTCACTTTCCTACAGCTGACCAGCAGCGAAGCATCAGTCCGGGTGAGTCACGTTAATAACTGTTAAGCACAAGAAGTCTTTTCAAGATGGAGAGATGGTAAGAGGCATGCGTTGAAGCCACTGTCTCGTTGTTCAGAGACTTTAAAAACAAGCCAGAAATATCATCTTCCATTAGCTCTCTGGGTATCAAGAAATATGGTTACAGTTAAAAGCAGCTGCCGTCAGGGCTGAATTTTCACTTTTGTTCTCAAGTTCTCAGGTTATTTTTCAAACATGAAGTTATTCTTGTTGTTTTCTGTTCCTTTGTGTGAAGAGCAGAAGTTATTGCTGTGTTTTGTTTATTATTTTGTATGCAGATAGTAAAAATAATTAATCACTTTTTTTTTAAACAAACCTTTGGGTTTTATCATTTGCATCCACAGCAAGCTGGGACTTATTCATTGATTCAACCTTTATTTAACCAGGTTAGTCTCATCGAGTCACGAGGACTCATTTACAAGAGAGACCTGTTTTAGACAGATAACAAAGTACAGACAACAATAAACTACAGTAAAATGCAATTAAAACAAAAGTAGTGTTATAAAACAATAAATCAAGGTGCCATATAAAACATGGTAAAATACTACAAAACAAGAACATAAAACATAGAAAGCATACTTAATATGTTTATAAATAAGTATATATATATTTTTATATTAGGTAGACCACTTGGGCTTGGTCACTTTAAAAGTAGTTTCCACGTAGGGCTGTTGTAAACAAATATTTTAGTAATCGGGTAATCTATAGATTATTCTGATGATTAATCGGGTAATAGAATACAAAATGTGTCAGGTTCTGCAGTAACTACCGTACTTATTTTATGAGTAATACAAATACACGAAAAAACATTAAATAAACAACCCATTTAATTTCTCTCTTTTTAAAATATTTTATTGCTTAAGTTGAATTATTTTTAAACATCACATAAAAATCTAAATGCTGTAAAATAATTTTTATGGATTGGAAAACTGAACGGAATTTACAAAGTAGGATCTGGACGGAAGGACATGATTTGGACTGAAGGTGGAGATGATCTTCTGGATCCTTCATCTTCCACCACAGACAGCGGCCGCATGTCTGTGATGATCAGATTTAAAATGCTGTTTGTGAACTCAGCTGCTGCACAACCAACATCCTGGAGCCCTTTGTACGAAGCAGTCCAGCGTATGACTCTGACATTTACTGAAAAGAAGAATAAACTATTATTTGTTTATTCACTGTTATTCCTAAATACATTTTCAAGTGTACTTCACTGGATATTATAAAATTATTTAATACTGTTAAGTAATCTACACTTTCTGATGACCTGCTGCAATCAAAGTAACATTAGTGTCAGTTGTATTTGATTAAGCTTTCATTTACGTGTCAGGTTTGAGGATGCTTTAATTAAAACTCTGTCACTGAATTATTTTTAACCATCACATAAAAATCTAAATGCTATAAATTTTTATGGATTGGAAAACTGAATGTATAATTTTTATGTTAGAAACTGAGTAAGACAGATAATGTAAAGTTTGTATATTGAGCTCTGCGAACTACATTATTATTTAGTCTTGATTGCTGAGCTATAAACAAATATGACAGTAGTAACAAATGCAGATTAATCACAGTTTTCATTCATAAACAGCAGCAAGGAGAAGAAACAAATCCTACTAACTCGTTTAAATACATTTACACTTGAAATATTCACCCTAAATATCTCATTTAAGTCAGGATGGAAGTACAGCAATAAATAAAAGTGTCAGTCTGTTGCTGCTTTTATCTTTAACAAACTTGCATCAAGTCCTGCAGTTTTTTTTTCCTCACACAACGTACAGACTCTGCCAGGTAGCCACTATGATTAGTCAGTAGATTTAACGTTGGCAAAAATATGCCTCATTTCATATCTATAACGTGACAGATTATCACACATTTAGGTTCAGGTATTTTGCAAAGAGAGAACACGATACCTGTTACAGCCGCGGACGAGTTTGATGCTACAGCGGGTGTTTTCTCTTCAGACGCTGCAACATCGACGACGTGCTCTTGTGGTTACTCCAGTTCTGCTTTGCAGTGGAAGCGTTGAGCTGTGTTGTCTTTTCTGTTTAGCCTAACATGTTCCCAAACTTTTGACAGTTTTTGTTGTTTTTGGGCTCTTCTTCTACGCAGTCTCCGCTCCCTCCATAACTACAAACTTAGCGCATACACGTTAGCGGAACACAAAAACCTTCCGGCTAGACCACAGTGCTCTGAATAGTTTAACCTAGTTTAACCTCGGTTACAAAAGCCTCGAGGTCCTTGAATGATTCGAGGAATCGTTTCAGCCCTACTCGCATGCTGAAAAAGTGTGGGCACCCCTGATTTAGGGCAATGTGTGTCGATGCACTCACAGAGTGGGTAATCCACAGCTGTAGTCACCATGTCGAGAGTAGACTGGGCCACCTCCGTCACCCTGCGAGCCATCAGACCCCGAGGCTCCACCTTACATGCTACAGAAAAGAGAAAAGATCATAAGACACAAAAGCCGAGACTCCAATATACGGCACATTATATCCCCATCAGCAACCTATTATACAGCAATAGGCCAGGACAAGTAAAGCCCTTGTATAACCGTTGACCTTGATTTATGACCTTGACCATGAAGCTGGGGTGGTGGTAAAAGATTATGTGACAAGCTGTCTGTTGGTACAAATGTGTATAAAGTTTCATTCAATTATCTTGAGAGGATCAGAAGTTATGGACTGAACAATAGAAGGTTTATAGATGGAGACTACACCATATTACGTCCATCTGTTGACGGGCGTATATATATAGTAATAATTAAAAACTTAATAATAATAATAATAATAATAAATATTTGACATCCCAAATGAGGAAGAGTCAAAAACACAAACAAGAAAACAACTCTTGCTTTTGATTCTACTTTAACTCCAGAGCTCTGTCATTAATGTGCAGTCTTGAGTCGTACCCTGGTTGTTGGTGTCAGGTGCCCCCCCCTGCCGGTAGCAGTCCTGACACACCCTGACTGGACCGCTGCCCCAGCCCCTCTCTGGGACGGGCATCCTGTGGCTGGAGCAGGGGTGGCAGAAACCTTCACCGCACGATCGGCAGTGATGTTTCCTCTCTGCCTCCTCGAACATCTTCTGACATCCATGACAGGCCTGAGGGTCAGCAGGAAGGTGATGATGGCACAAAGTACTGGGACTTTATGGGTACCCGAGACAAAACTGAACATATATGTACTTGTAGTGACTGTAGCTTCTGGGCTTTAGGTGTTCTTACTCACAGTGATCTCCACGTTGGGCCTCCAGTATGGAGGGGCCACCTGGTCGGTGAGCCAGGCTGTGACGGCTTTCGTGGGGCCAGTGCTGTACTCTGACACCGACTGGATCACAAAGCTCATCCCATCCAGAACCCTCTGAGCAGCGTTCTGGTGGTTGGTGAGGAACGTGTCGGACTGAGAGAAGAAACAGATAAAACATGAAGTTTAACGTTAAAGTTTACATTCTGCAGGGAAAACTTGGACGTTCTGTGTCTGCTGGACCCGGCTCTGGAGGGCAGTCATCGTCTGTTGCCGCGGTCGTTATTATCATCATGCTGCTAATACATGCTGCTGTAGATGTATTTCTGTTTCACTTTTGGCATGTTGTTCATGTATTTATGTTGCATGCTTTAGTATTTCTTGTTGTTGTTTTAGTGAGTTGAGACGGTTCTTCCCATCCGGAGCATTTCATTGCGTTGTTGACCTTGTGTTGATCTGCATATGACAATAAAGCAAACCTGAACCTAACGTTTTATTCTTGTTCCTGTCGTCTCTGGACCATCTAGTCTACAGAACAGCTTCATGTTCCTCCTCTGGTTCAAACTAAAGGGCTGAACGTCAGATAATGTCCAACATTAACTTTTAGAGCTTTCACTGGAGCAACCAGTCTGCCATTTACCCAGAATACACTGCAGCATAAATGAAAATGGTGACATCCACGTGTTGTTAATTTTTAAATTATTATAAAAAAACTAAACAGCCTACAACAAAAAAGGTTGAATCATGTCATCTGGACTTCGTTTTTTTGTTAAAAA